TAACATAACAATTTAATGTCAAAGTCTTTTTTATGTGATTACACATGAAATATCTTGAAATAAGTGTTCAACAAAAAATTGAAGATAAAAAAGTATCAGATCTGTATTTTTGATAAGTCAAATTATATGTCTTTTTCACGTACTCTCATGTTTTTACTTACATATTCTCATATATATGTAAATTAGGGGCTATGATAAGGAAAAAGATGTATAGACCTATGAAATGTAGGATTATAAAACCTAAATCACCTAAATAGATTTAATATGATAATCTGTGACATCTGTCTCCCAGTTTGAAATAGTTTATTTCACATAAACATCCAAACAAGGAGTACAGTGATTACATTTTTAACAATCTTATCCAAAAATGAGACCGGTGACCTGTACTTAGTCAAATTTATGTGATCCATGAGTCAAAATCCTTGTCACATTTCTTTAAGAAAAAAAGGAAATAAAATCCCATTTATATAATAAACTGAGAAAGGATAGATTTAGTATGCTCTTGAGCAATAATCACCATTATAATTTTAACTTGTAAGAGTGAGCCCCATGTATGAGTGGTGTGGTGCTGCCAGGTTGGGTGGTGAGAACAGAGAAAGAAATAATTCCCGCAAAGATAAGTGGGCATGTTTATACTGTTATCATCTTGCCTCGAGGGCTGTGGATTTGCTAGGAGAAAGGCAATAAATAAATGAATGAATGCCTCATTCCCATAAATACATGATAATTGTTCCAAGATTGCCCTTAAGTAGCTAAGAGATAGCTGGCAATTAATGCTCCCTGAAGATCACCCCATTACATAAAAGATAATACTGATGAAGATGAAGATGCAGTGTAGGTTTACAAGGGCATATTTGTAGAGTATCCCAGGGCCCAAGAAACAAATGCATAGACTCTCAATTAAAAGTAATGCAAAATTATAGATCAAAATCTTCATAAAATCTTTTTATAAATTCTTAATATGTATACTTTTAATCTTGTAGTTTTTTTTCTGAGAGATATGTATTATAAAGTTCTTGGGAATGTTTTTCTTTCCTTTCATATTTGTGCATATATCTGCTTTTATTTTAGATGCGAAGGTTAAACGTTTAAAAGCTGTATTATTCAAAAGTGTTTCTGATAAAATTTGAACCTATTTATATGATACACATCACAATTTCACTAACGTTAAGATACACCTGATATAAAAAGAGATTAATCAGCCTATAACTATGTGCTTAGAATGTATCTTTTCTCCAAGAAGCAGATAAAAGTCATCAGTTAGATGACAGACTTTTAGCCATAAGTAGCATAAATAGTAGCAATTCATAACAGATAATGTATACACCAGTGTCATTAACTATATAACTCACAAAAAAAAGAGTTACTCTTCTTAAAAAAAATCAGAATTGCAGCACAACAATGAAGAAATTCAATACAATAACTACACTTCAGGAGACTGGGCCCTGCCATTTGAATTCATGATGGTGGAAGAACCAAAAAGAGAAACAATGGATAGTAGCAACTATATTTAGGTATATAATTATATCTCAACTAAATCATAACTCCAGTAAGAAGTAATAAAAGCAAATCAGGATAACATACAAATTCTTAAACATAACTTCATTTCCCCATATGACCTTCACAGTATTAAAGGTACAATATAAAGTTCTGAACCTGCTCAAATCCTCTTTAATTACTCAAGATTACTGTGACTTCCCTCCAGGGAGTTTGGAGGGCCACATGAAACATAACTAGAAAAATAAATTAAAGCTAGTCAACTACCTTGTAGTAAATGCATAAGAACTGCTTCTTCTAACTGATGACTTTTTTCTTGTAGTCTGCTTATGAAATAATATACATTTCCCAAGATTTCCATTATTACTTTTGCCACTGATATATCTTCTTCTCTGCCTCCTTATATTCAGACAAGTCGTATGACCTCTTAGGCCTCATTTTATTCCTTGGTACAAAAGACGAAAAAGTGCAGATTAGACTAGAATCTGATAAAGGTCACATCTAGCTCTAATATTTTGCGATTCCTTTCCT